CCCCCCCCCTGTATCCACCCCTGAGAATATATCATGAACTTATAATTTTCTTTCCGTAGTCCATTTACTATTAATTTTAACAATTTATTACAGATTTTGTTTGATAGATTTTGTAAGAGTAAGTAGAAGTAAAAAGACAGGTTTTTTGGCGACCCCCTTTTAATTAGCTTTTCATGATTGGTCTAGAATCCCCCCTACCTCACCCCACATTTGGATAGTTTGGCTGACAGATGAAGTATGGAAGGAGAAGAATGGAATAAGAAGGGCGAGGAGAAATAGATGTTGTTGTGAATAGTTGACAATAAGTGATGTCGTCTTCTTACTTGACAAACTTTGAGTTAAGGATCAAAAGGAAGGATGAAAAGAAATGATGAAATGAATATTGAAGATATCTTCAATAATAAAGGAATTGAGTCATTGCCACAAACTCTGATTTTTTAATACCTTTATCTCTGCAACCCTAGATATTTCAAACTATAAATTCTGATCAAGTAATCAAAGTTTGTAATATATTAAAGGTTTACGCCATCTGGTTTTAGGGATAACGGTAAAGGAAAATTGGGATTTGTGGCAAAGACTCAAGTCTTTTGTAATCATAAAGCGACCTGCATGTAGAATTACATGTTCAATTCACAACAGTACCCTGAAAACCTTTGACTTAGTATTAATTATAATCTTATCCTTATTTTTCTGTTCAAAAATTGATGATTTAAATTGCTGTCTTCTGTTAAAGGGACAAGAAGTAAGGAGTAGAAAAACGACGATGTCTTCCTCTTTGTTGATCCGATAAAATACATATGGCATGGTTTTGACTTTTTTGAAATCGTTCCGTTCCGTTCTAGAACGAGGGCCTTCAGCTAAATCGTTCCGTTCTCGTTCCTCTTTTTTTTATCGTTCCGTTCTCGTTCCGTTCCGTCCCGTTCCGTTCCGTTCTGAGTAGAAGAACGGTCTTCCCGTTCCGTTCCGTTCTTGGCGTTCTTATTTAAAGAACGGTTCCATCCCTCTCGTTCCGTTCTTAGTCAAAGAACGTTTCCATCCCCC